GTGCTTTTCACATGCACATTCACATAAGTCACTGCCCTCAAGGAGCTTACAATCTAAGGTCCCTATCACACAAGCATACATACAGGGCCAATTTAGACTGGAGCCAATTAACCTTCCCACATGTCTTTGGAGTGTGCAAACTCCTTGCAGGTAAGTGACCTGTCCAGCATTCAAATCAGGGACCCCCAATGCTGCAAGGCAGAAGCGCTAACCACTATGCCACTGTGCTGCCTCATGAGAATTGTATTGTCTTCTGTTTATTTCAAAGCCATAATATGAAGTATACAACTATAGTGGTTTATGGTCATTTATTTAGATTTCAACACACATTTGGCATCATCACTGTTTAGTTCTTATCTGGATTAGACTGCCTTGGTCAGATCTGGTCCCCAGCTCTTGGGATTAGGGGAGGGCCACCAGCAATAAGTTGTGCCGGAATGTTTTAAACAGATTAGATGTTTGCATGAGAGGAAAACAGACTTTTAAAGCACACCTGTCATGCGGGGGGTTGCAATTCTCAGCTTTTCTAAAAATGCTAGTTGACTGGTTGTGTTTGGTTTAAATACTTAGAGAAGTAGGATTTTAAAAAAAAAAATGTTATTAACCCTTTGCAGTTGGGCTACCCCTGCACTGGGGGGGACAAGGGCTAAGTGCTTGTTTGTGTCTAGGTGCTAAAATAACAAAGATTATACTCACTCAAAGCTATGAGCTGCCAGCTGTCACAGAGCTTCCTGCAGCATTGGAATCTTCCTCAGCGTCCTCATGTCTATACACAGTGTATAGATGTTGATAATTTACTGGACCTCAGACCTCTGCAGAGGAGGGGGAGAGACGTTGGAAGGACTTGCCTAACGAGAAGTTGGTTTGGAGCTTTGGGTGAGTATATCTTCTTGTTTTTGTATTTTTCAACCTAGACACAAATTAGCAGTTAACCCTTGCAGTGGGCCTTCCCTCGCACTGCAAGGGTAATAAAAAAGGGTAATAAAAACATTTAAGGTTAATAAAAAAAGGTTAAGGTTAATAAGGAGTTTCCAAATTTCCTGGAGTTCTTGTAGAACAAGCATGCAGGAAATGCAAGTCTGAGAAAAGTCAGAATTTGTCATCTCCTGTTCTGTCTGAAGTAAGCTATATTCTCTTATGACAGGTCTCTGTTACTGCTATATGTTAGAGAAAGATCTTCTGATGCAAACCACACAGAATAATGAGCTGAGTGTCAGTTGTAGAATGAACTGGCGCGTCCTCTTGGTCGGGGCAGATGTGGGTGATTTTTATTTTTTCACTCGTTTAATCCGGGATAGGTTTCTCTTTATTGTCCTTTTGTTGCTTTTTGTCTTTTTTCAGAGAGTTTCTTCTACTGTGCAGCCAAGATGTTATTGTCTTCTATTTATAGTATGCATTTAATCTTTTGCAGGTGGTTACTATCATGGGAAACTAATATTTCCAAGAGAATTCCCCTTCAAACCACCTAGTATTTATATGATCACTCCTAATGGACGGTTTAAATGTAACACACGGTAGGAATTCTTCTGTTTCAACATCATGCTGTCAGGGGATGAGCTCAGGGAAACTGTTAAAGAAGGGCTCTGGCCTGTTTATTAAGCAGGATATTGTTCTTAATTAAATTTATAGCCAAAAGTTTTTCGTTTTTTTTTCTTAGCATTGGATAGAATAGTGAAGGATTACAACCCCTGTCTGGTTATATTATTTTGCCTGTGTCTCTACTATGTAGTTTCCCCCTGTCTACTTGTTCGCTGACAACTGTCCACAAGACAGAAAGCAATGGCACATTCAAAATACAGTTGTCACTGTTGCAAAAGTTGAGAGGACGTCTTCCATGTGACAAGTGTCTAAGATCGGGATTACCATCACTTGGGGAGATTTTCTCTCATTTCCGGTGGCATCTCTAGGACAAGTAGTAAAGGGAGATCTCCTGAACAGGATGCAGACAGCAAAAAACGTTTTGTTTTTTTTACCACTTCTCTATCCAAAACTAAAAAAAAGTTTTGCTGCACATTAAGAAATTAACCCCTAAATATGATTATTTAAAGAGGTTCTCCAGCCAACTTCTCTTCTGAACATTGCAAGGTAGAGAAGATCTGATGATAAATGGCAGGGGATAGACTGGCATTCTGCTTGTTGAGGAGGATATTGTGTCCTGGCAAGCTCTTGGTGCTTGAACAGCCAGTGAGACAGCAGGCCCATTGCATGACACTCTAGCAAACAGATAAATGTCTGAGGCTGCACAAAGAGCATGCTCATACTGCAGGGCAAATGTCGGAACGCTTAGGTTCCAGTGCCTACGGTCCATAGGGGCTTGCCACATGGCATTTAATCAAATAGGTACATAGCTTGCCTGGCAGTGGCTGTTAATCTGCGATTTGGTTAGTGCACTTGACTATGCTTGATTGAACTGAGGCACACTGTTCGTACCAGCAGTAGGAAATGCCATATCAGCTAGTGACATTTCCTTATTTTTGCCCAACACTTCCTTATTTACGGAGCAAGCCATCAGACAGGAACCTATGACAGCCAGGCCAAATTTAAAAAAACACTTGTTCCTCAATGAGAGGAGCAGCGGCTGAATAAGGAGTATGGTTGATTACTTGGAGTATGCACTTATACAGAAGCACCCCTGAATCAAAGCAATGCTTAGTTTAGAACATTAATCATGTTATGCCAGTGGGGGGGGGGGGGCAGCTGACAACCTTAAAATTGTGTATCTATACTCGCCACTTTGTTTGCATCAATATGTCAGAATAAAGAATTAACAAGTGTATCATGTGAGTTGAGGTTTTTTTTTATTTCTTTTCATAGTTCTGTCCTACTTGGCCATTCTTAGGAAGAGTAGCTGTACTCCGGAGCAAAGTTAAACATGTTTCCACATGTAGCTGGGGGTTAGACATGTGGCTAATAAAAAGGTAGATTTTCTAAGGTTATTGTGTGGTCATTTAGGAAGGATTAGGCCTTAGGGGTGTTCTGTGAAGGGTTAGGATCCAGGGTTATTATATATTATATATATCAGTAGTCTTTAGACTTCAACAGCCAAACCTAGATCACGTTCCTGTTCCCGGCCAAACCAAGCAAATTAAAATGTTTTATTCATTTTAGGTTACAAAGAAAGATTAACAGTTGAATACGACATTTGCATCCTAAAGTGTTGTTCCCTTGCCTTCTGCAGACTCTGCCTTTCAATCACAGACTTCCACCCAGACACATGGAATCCAGCATGGTCGGTATCGACAATCCTCACAGGTCTACTCAGCTTCATGGTGGAGAAAGGACCCACCTTGGGCAGCATAGAGACCTCAGACTTTACTGTAAGTTTGAATAATTAAATCTTTAAGTTAAAGCTTCTAGTGGTTACATCAGGTTGATAAACAAGAACATGTAATTTACTCCTTGTTTAATTGTTATGCAACTTGATAACTGGTTTCTCATGCAACCTGCTAGACAGTGCTGGAAGGGGTGGGTATTATGGAGCAACTCTTGCTTTTCATTTCCTTCAGATGTTCCCACAGATGTTCCCAATGAAGCACCTATCTGCTTTCTATGTAAAAGATGGTGGCCAGAGCTATTCTTTGACAGGCTTATCTGCATTCAAACATTTAAGTAGCTATAGAGGCTGCAAGTGTAAGAGATTACTATTATAGTCCGACCATAGTTCCACTTGCATGCAAATTTAAAAAGGGGTAAATGTGAAGGTATTTTAGGTTTATATGGAGTTCCTGTTTTAAGAGGAACTTTGATCATTGCACAGAGGCCATGAAAGCGGATGTAAAAATGTAAATCTTGCCCACAGCAGAGCTTTACCTTAATCGTGCAAGGCTAACCTGCCCACTGTTTGCAAAGCCACTTACTTCAGGGACTCAGCTGGCTCAATCTGCCCTTCATGGTGACTATGCAAACAATCTACCTTTTTAGGTGGTAGAGGGTCTTTGCCCTCCCTAATTTCAACAAGTCACACTAAAAGCAACAGGTGGAATGTCCATCATGTTCTAAGGGGTGCACAAGTGAGGCAATCTTACACTTGCCCAACCTCGAAACTACAATTATTTGTTTTCTTTTTTGTTTCATAGAGATCCTCATGAGGTCGGCCAAGGCATCCCAGTACTCCATTTGACCTAGTTTGCTTTGAACTGGATACTGATATTAGAATGTGCTGGTAGTAGGCTTGCTGCATTTTCTTAGCTATATTTTATAGTGGATTCTCATATGTCCCCAACTCCTTTTTACATATTTTACAACGTTTCGAGAATGAGCCATCTTAAATTATTATTTTTTTTGAATTTTTTTGTTGTTGCTATAAACAGATATTTATAGAATACAGTACATGGGGCATGGAATTTGGTACACGTATTGTACCACTCTTGCAAGGGAATCATCTTAAATTAATTTTAATCAATAGATTGATTTGGGCAACTGAAATGTTTTAGATCACCAATGTATTTTTTTTTTCTGCTTGCCTTGACAGAAACGACAACTCGCAGCACAAAGTTTAGCATTTAACTTAAAGGATAAAGTTTTCTGTGAGCTGTTTGCAGAGGTAGTTGAGGTAAGTACCATGTTACATCCGTGACTTGATACTTTTATCATACACACAACAAAAATCCAGAGTCGCCTTTTATAAGTTTGTGGTAAACATCTGGCCACTGATGGGATAATTCCAGATATGATCTGTGCACATCAACCCCTTAAAGGAGAACTATGTGGTGAGTGCTATTCACTCACCTCCTTGTTCTAGCCGACCTGTGACAATGAGACTGTCACAGGTCGGCTCAGTAGATCGGGAGGTGAGCGAACGGTTTTGTAAAGGACAAAAAGGGACATGTGACATGTGCATATAAAAGTTCTCATATAGTGCATGAGGGAAGCTTGAACCCTTAAGGACCCATAACGGAATTATTCCGTCATGGGTCCTTATGGCACAAACAACTATGATGGAATAATCCTGTCATTGGTCCTTAAGGGGTTATAGAACCCTTCCTGTCTTTATAGGTTTTAATAAGTCCTTTTTGAAATCTCCAACTATATGTATGTAGCGGAGCGGGTATCTTTGTTTTCCTGGTATCCACTTGTATCCATCAGCTTTTGAACGAGTCCTGTACTGAGGAAGTATGGAAATGCTATTGCTGAAAAATGCTGAAAAGTTCTATAGTAGTAACATCTAAAAGAACACCCCTACTTCTGAAGATCGAAACAAAAAATCTGGGTACTATTTGATTTTCTTTTGGGTTCACTTGTGGAATGTGGATACCTATACATTACATAGCTTTACAGATGAACCTATTACAATACATTTTTTCCTTTAGAACACCCCCTACCTAAAGGTAATATATTGCAGCTTGCCAGTCCTCGGATGAGGTGGCTACATCACTTTTCTTTTCTTCAGGCTTTTTTTTTTTTACCAGCTAATGCTGCAAGTTTCACACTTCCTGTCTCTGGTTGGCTATACTGGCACTCTGGTTGGCGCTGTACTGAAATGAATTTTATACCCTTGTTTGGGGACAGATAGAGCTTTCTTTTGGTGGTATTTATTCACCACTGGGGGTTTTATTTTTTTCTATATTAAGGAAAAATTACCGAATTTTAAAAAAAAAAAACAGTTTCCCCTATATTAAATGATAAAACATTTATTACCCAATTATATTTCCTTTTTTAAATTTCTATTTCGGTGCACCTCTAGTAATAACCGGAGCTATGGTATACTTGCCTTGCACTGTGGGATTATTTATCCATTTGTTTTGCTTGTCTGACTGTTTGTTTTTTCTTTGCATTGTCAGGAAATAAAGAAGAAGCAGCGGGCACAAGAAGAACTAACCAACCGACCACAGTCCCTTCCTCTCCCAGACGTTGTGCCAGACACAGAAGCCCACTTCGGTCAGAACGGAGCTCCACTCTTAAACGGCCACGCGCCCTTGGCAGCAGCAAATCACCCCGGTCTACAGCAGCCAAACCGTAACCATGGACTTTTAGGGGGTGCCCTGGCCAATGTCTTTGTCATAGTGGGATTTGCAGCCTTCGCCTACACAGTCAAGTATGTACTGAGAAGCATAGCCCAGGAATGATGAGGTTTGCAAGGAGGCGCCGAGAAGAATCTGAGACCAAACTAGCAATAGTCGGGAAAGAGCAAATGAACTGCTAGGAGGAGACGGACTCGCTCCGCACCAGGCTCGGGTCATTTCTATTTGTGCTACAGTTGTGCAAAGTGATATATCAGTTGGCTCATGGGTTTATTATTATATATTTTTTTTTTTTCTTTTTTAGAACATGAGATGAGTGGTTCTGTTTTCCATGACAGCAAACTAAAAAGAGACCCTGTACTATGTTCACTGCAGCCTCCGGTGCTGGAATCAGCCGGGCGTCTTCATTTCCAACATCTGCTTTAATCCAATGAATTTCCTCAAGCTCTTCTTTAAAATCTGTCAGGGAGAGGGCTATGTTCTCTGTACTGGATCTGTGATGAGACGTGGGCCTGTCAACTGCGCGGTAGACAGTCCGCCCAATTCCAGCAAACAGGTTCCAAAAAGATTGGTCCAGTTTTGTACATCAGCTATCCAGTGATAAAGTCTGAAAGTTTAATGTTGAGATTTTCATGTCTGTTTTTTTTATTTTTGACAGCGAGGTGATATTTTAAGATCAACTATGGAATGATTGTACCACTTGATTTATATCCTGTTAGGAGTGGATATTAAAACGTTTCATTCAGTGAGACTGAACATAGGACATTTTGAATACTTAGTATTTACTGCACAATCCATTCATCGGAGAGATACCTAAATAATAACTAAACCCAAGAACAAAAATATATTCTCTTGCAGCTTACCAGGCCTTAGCTGTAGCGGCTGTATTAGTTTTGATTTTTTTTTCAGATGAAGAACATTTTCAGCAAGTACAGAAAATAGCTGTTGATCTTGCTGTGTCCTTGCCCCTTCCTGCAAGCTGAATCGGAGCATAAAACAATCTTATCTGTTAAGTACTAATCTTTCCTTCCCCCATGTAATGGAAATAAAGGTAGACATGTTTGAAGTCCAGCCTGGGTGGCCACTATGGCTTTTTTTTTTCTTCATAGTGGAGTGAGTGAACTCCAAAAAATAAACGAATACAGCTGCAACTTCTAAGAAATGTTAAGATGCATTATATTCTTGTTTTTGGTTGTAGATTAACTTTGAGGCCTAAGATACGCCTGGTCTAGGTTTAATTTTTGCCACCCTCTGACCATGACATGAGCCCTGCATGCAGGCACCATACGCTTGATTAAAGCGAATCTCTGCATTGCAATGCAGAGCAAAGCAACGCGTCCACATTAATCTTTCCCAGCAGCATATGCTTTGCCTTCCTTTTACTCTCAGTCTACTCTGTTAAGTTGTCGGGAGTGCAGGAAAGCCTATACTGCTGGAATCATGGCTTACACAGGGTGGTGGACTGCTCAAGTTACAGTGCTGACTGACCAGGACACATGACGGCACTGTCACATGATGTGCAATGGCAAGAGCCCACCCTGTATGACCACACTACAAACAGTTCCCCTTTAAAATACATTACGTGGAGTGTTTCGATGGCAACATGTGTATGGAAGTAAAACTGACCTAAACTGCAAACTTGGGTATGCTTTCATCAGGGTGACTGGTCCCTCCTCATCACCCTGATTAAAGCAGACCTAAGTTTACAGGTCTCCAAATAGTCAGCTGTCATAGGCCGACCCGGTTGAGCCATTTCTGGGTCACATGACCTAAACTCAGCACTGTGGATGCTAGTATCAGCAGAGCCTTTATTTACTTTGAAGACTTCACTGATATCCCCACCACAGTGCACTGCTGCATGGGCTGCAGGTCATGCAATGGTTACCAAAGAAAGGTGGGATTTGCCTATTATACGCTGCCTGGGGAAAAAAAAAACCTCACCACCTGGGTTTTGCTAAGCAAATAGTAAGTCTTCCATTGGATACTTACTGTAGCCATTGATATGTTTCATCTGTCAACGAGTTATTTATCCCTAACTGATGCATTGAGTAGCTTTTTTAAATAACTGTCAGAAGACATATCCTGCAGTCATGGTAAAGATGTAATTCTGTTTCAGGAGGGTCAAATTATTGGCCTACATCAAGCAAAGAAAGCAACTAAGGCAATTGCTGAAACTACTAAAATTGGGGTAAGAATTGCCCAACACATTATTAAAACCTGGAAGGATACGGGTGATCCATCTTCGAGGAAGGAAGGTGGTCGGAAACAAATCTTGACTGATCATGATTGGAGATCACTGAAACATTTTGGAGAAATCAAATTGTAAAAAGATCAAACAACAGTAGAACTTACGACTGTTTAATAGTGAAAGTAAAAGCGTTTCCACACGCAATGCAAAGGGTACTCAACGGATCAGGACAAAACAGCTGTGCAGCTTTAAGAAAACCACCCATCAGTGAGGCTAGGTCTGATGAGTCCAGAAGAAAGGTGAATGAAGTGATGCATCCATCAATGCCTAGTGCCTACTGTACAAGCCTGTGGTGTCAGTGTGATGATCTGGGGTTGCTTCAGTTGGTCAGGTCTAGGTTCAGCAATGTTATGTCCCCAAAATTGAGGTCAGCTGCCTTCTTGAATGATCAGGTTTTTGCATCAATGGATTTTTTTCCTTCCCTGATGGCACATTGGGCATATTCCAAAATATATGACAATGCCAGGATTCATCGGGCTTAGATTGTGAAAGAGTGGTTCAGGGAGCAAGAGACATAATTTCTACACATGGATTGGCCACCACAGAGTCCAGACCTTAACCCTTAATCTTTGGGATGTGCTGGAGAAGACTTTACACAGAGTTCCGACTCTCCCATCATCACTACAAGATCTTGGTGAAAAATTAATGCAACTCTGGATGGAAATATATGTTGTGCCATTGCGTAAACTTGTTGAAGTGATGCCACAACCGTAATCAAAGCTAAAGACTGCAACTAAATATTAGAGTGTGTGTGACTTTTTTTTTTTCCGCCATTCACTGTATATTGCGTAGATAGATGAAGTCTTTTCTTTCACCTAAAACAGGCTGACTTCAGACCTTAGCTCTAAATACATGTCATGTGAATTTTTTTACTTGGTGTTTATTGCCTATTGCTTCCAGACCTGTGCAGGGATCCAGCATCAAACCAGTCATACACTTTGCTTCTCTGCAGTAATCTCCTGTAATACAGACAGGCCATTGCTGCTCCCTCCCTATGCAGGGAGACTGTGGCCCTGCAGCTTTTGGCAGGCTGTCTGTAGTGGGAGGACCTGCCGGATCTCTCCCACAGCTCTGCTTGCTGAACAGAGAATATACAGGACAGTGATGATGTCTCTGTCAATGTTACTAGGTACTACCTAAATTTGGTGAACATCAATTAGATTTATATCTTTTTTTTGGCCATCAAAGAATAGATTTCAATTGAAGCATTTGTGTCTGGAGTTTAGGTGAACAGAGTTGCAGCATTGCACAGCTGTGTATGCCTAATCATGGTTATGCACACTCTTCCATCTGTAGACCGGGGAACAGGCAAATTGGAGAAAGAGCATATGAGTAAACTTTTTGTGGCCCATACAGTCACTATACGAATTGCAGCTGGTTCTTTAGGAACCGTCTGAAATTGGCAACCAATCAGCTGATGGAAGGAGGCAGTCGGAAAATCTTCGAATGAACAGAGTGGGCAGCCAATCAGCTCTATCTGGGTATTCTGACAGCGGGAGATTCCTCGATCAACGCTCATAAGCATTGATGAAGGAATCTGTTCTATTTTTCTCATTCAGCCCATGGGTTGAACAAAAAAGAATAGAGCAGTGTATGGCCAGCTTTAGTCCCTGATCACATATAGGCCTATCGGGAACCTTTGCATGCGTTAACCAAATACACTTGCGATGTCATACTAGTTAATGGCACCCCAAACATGCAGTTTTCCTAGCCGTTCAAACACATGAATGCGTGGGGGAAACCCAAAATGCATATTGCAGCTTTTGCTACACGCACTACTTTGGCATGTGTTCAGGAGCCCATTAGTGGAAAGGCAGGAAACAAATGCTTACGAATGTATGTCACCATGGTGTGAGTTCATGCAACGCTATGGGGTGAACAGGGCCACAGACTGTTAAGAAGAACTCCAAGGAAACAGAAAGTTAGGCCCAGTTCACACCCTGGCATTGCACGAATGTGCATAACGGTGACACGCGTTACCGGACGTTTGTTCCCTGCCAAAGGGGGGGAAAGTAGCACATGTATTCCATGATTTCTCCCACGCATTGGTGTGAGTTTGGCGGCCATGTTTGGGTTCCATTATCTAGTGAACTAGCATTGTGTGCGCATTTGGTATTATTATACAGGATTTATATAGCGCCAACAGTTTGCGCAGCGCTTTACAATATAAGGAAGACATCACAATACAATTCAAGACAAGATGGTAAGGAGGGCCCTGCCCATGAGGGCTTACAATCTAAAAAATATATACACGTCAAAGCACAGACTTTTGTGCCTGCTTGACGCACGTTCCTGATACGCCTATGTGTGAACAGGAACTAATATTGTATACTTTGGGTGCACTATTGAGGACAAAGAAAATAATAAAATAAGGTTCCATAGGAAGGAAAGCCTGTCTTCTATAATGTCCTGTCTCTGAGGATCCTGGATAACATACTTCTTGTGCACAGCTTAGACCTAGCCAGCGATGACCCCTTCTCTATCAATAATTTGAGACTTTATCCAGCTTCAGCTGATGATTGTCAGCAGTGGTGTGTTAGTACTGCTGCATCTCACAAGGAAAGAAGAAAAACATGGTGCAGATGACTGGACATTTTATACATTAAGTGGAGATTTCTTGCATGACAGCAGCTCTCCCTTGTGTCCATCATATAGCACTATCTGGTCTCATCATCCTCTAGGTCCCTTTACCTGAGTGTCTGGGATGTCCCATAGAGGACACTAGTTACCTGCAGAAGGATATGGTGGTGAAAACACACATTACAGGGGTGTAAGGAATGGCAAGCTAACTCAATAGAGCTAAAGCTGGCCATACACCTATAGACTATCAGCAGGTTTTCTATGGTTAGATGGAAAAAGTGCAACAGATTCTTCCATCTACGCTAAACTGTGTGGATGGAGTAATCTCCCACTGGGCCAAGCTTCAGTATCTTGCTAGTCGGCCCCGCTGGCTCTCAAAATACCTGAGCAATGCCTGCATCCAATCAGATTGTTCAGGTATTTTGGGAGCCAGCAGGGCCGACTAGCAAGATACTGAAGCTTGGCCCAGTGGGAGATTCCTCCATCCACAAAGTTTAGCGTAGATGGAGGAATCTGTTGCA